CCGTTTTTGACCACTATCAGGATGTCCCCTTTCCTCGTGTCCCTTATTTCCTGGAAATTCTCTGCATAATCGCCTACCACCGTCTTGAGCCATTTGACTGCTCCCCAGTATCCAATATCCTCCTTGGGATATTTAATGAGTATTACCACCTCTCCTCTGTTCCCCCCTTTTCTTCCTTTCTTACCCCCTTTCCTCCTTCAATTCCTATTCCTCCTTCATTCTGTTTCTTCCCCTCTTTGATTTCCCTATCGTCGTCCCGTTTCTCTTCACTCCGTTTACCCTTTGCCTCCTTATCCTTTTCAAAGTTGGCCCTCATTTCCTTGATCATTCTAATGAGCTTTTGCTCCTCCTCTTGCTTCGCCCCAGTCCCTGTCCCTTCTTCTCCCTTGCCTTCCGCTTCCGTTTCACTGCCCTGATGTCGTCAGTTTTTAGCCGCATAATCTTAATTACTGGCTGTAATACCTCTATCTGCCTTATTTTGGCCTTTCCTGCTTCTCGTTCCGGTCGCTCGTCCTCCGTTGCCATCAGCGTGTTGCCCCTCTTTCTGCTTTCTGTTACGCACTCCTCCCTATCTCTGCCCTTGCTGTCCTTTCTTCCAGCCTCCGTAACAGCTTCTCTCCCTGGTGTCGGTGTGGAGCTGCTGGTTGGTCGTAACAGGTCCTGCGAGCTTTCCTCTTCCCATCTAAAAACCTCTTCCAGCTCACCCATCGACGCCTCCGCTTCCTCTACCGCCACTGCTGCCTCCATTAATGTCCTGTTCAATTCATCTTCTTCCTCCTCTTCCCAGATCCTTCGCTCTTTTGCCTTCCCCTTATTTCCTTTGCCTTGTTCCTCTTGCCTTGCCCTCTGTTTTCCCTTTCCCTTGGCTCCGCTCTGCTTCCTTTCTTCTTCGCCTCTCTCTTTTCGCGCCCGCTCGCTGTCCTTTAATTTTCCATTTATTTGTTCCCGGATCCTCTCCATCATGTCTGCCACTTCTCTGCCCGGCGCTTTGGACCTTTTGATTTTGGCAAACATTTCCATTTCGGCTGCAAAAGAAGAGAGAGAGAGAGCGAAAGCGTATGAGTACAAATACTATCGTAGCATAACAGAAAGAAGGAGTGACAGAATAAAGAAAGGAAAGGTAGATAATCTGTATGTATTGATGTAATTTAATTAAAGCAAGCGTCATGGAAGACTAGGAATTGAAGTAGATAAAAAATAGATCGGTAAAAACTAGGTAAAATGCAACTATGTAAGTATAGGTGCAAGTGTGGCCATAAGCATAAGTATAAGCCTACGTATTAGTTTGTATTAGTTTCTGTGTCCGTGGTTTTATAATGTATACTTCTAGTTTGGGTTAGGCCCGGAAATTGAAATTTTCATCTTCGTTTCCTTTCTCAATCCTCTTAATAGTTCTAAGTTAATCTTGATTATTAGCTGCCTAGTTTTTCTTATTGTCACCTTGCCCTATGTGTCTCTATTTATTATATAGTGCTTCTACAAATATTTTACATGTTGCTTGTAATGCACTTACCTTCTCCTATTTTATTTCACTGCTATTTCCACTTTAACTCTTACTCGCTATATTCTATTTTCACTACTCGCTCTTGCACTTTTTAACACCGTCTTTACCTATTCTCGACTGTTCCTGCACCTTTTTTATCTTTCCTTGTAACCTTGCCTGGTCGTTCCCACTCCTCATCCTTCCTTCGCTTCCCTCTTTCTCCTACCCTTACCTTGTCCTGTCTTCCTTACCTTGTCCTGATTTTCCTACCTTTCCTACCACTGCATTTCCTTTCGCCGTTTTTCCATCAACATAGCCAGCTAATTCACCAACTATGCCATATCACATAATGATGCATTATACAGTAATATAGTAATATAGTAATATAATCCTACGTTACATTATGCTATATAATACAGTATAGTATAATATAAGCGCGTGCGTGTTTGTATTTTGTATTTGTATTTTGTCATGTCTCATTGTTTGTCTAGCTAGCTAAGATTACGATTGTGCAATCATATGAAGCTTGTAAGAAGCTTATAAGTTAATGAAGTTGAAAATTGTATATTTGAGAATTGAAAATTTAAAAGTTGTAGATTATGGCATTTATGAAATTGAAAGTTTTGAAATTTGAGATTTATGAAATTGTGGAATTTTGTAATTTGCGTTGAGTTGAGTTTGTTTGGTTTGAGTTTAATTTGACTTGAGTTTATGCTGCTTGCCGCGGGTATCGATTGCCTGTAATTTCTTTCCTTATTTCCTGTCCACCTTCCGCTATTACAAGTTTGCAGATCTCGAATTTGCAACTCTCCTCCATGAATTTTGCCTCCAGCCTTGACTTGTGATCCTGATTTCCTTCCCACTTACCCCAGTGACTCCTTATTTCATCTCCTCTGCTTCCTCATCCGCCATTTCCTGAGGTGGTTTTGCTTTGTACGCCCCGCCTGTTGAGTTCTCTAGGGCTCACGCCTTCAATGCCTTCCAACCGCATGCTATTCATCTTCTCTACCTTTTCCCATTGGTTGGATTCTCGGTCTGTGCCATGTTCGCTCCTCCCTGCTTCCCTCGTTTACTCTGTCCTTCTCTGCAATGGCGCCCTGTTTGCCCCGCCTTCTCAGGTTCCCTGTGTGCGTTCCTGTTCCCTCGTTTCGCTCTGTCGGCTTACTTCCTTTCTTCCGATCCCTACCTGCCTTGACCGCCTATAGTATCTGTCGTTCAGTCCTTCTGCTCGCTATTGTATTCCGTTTTCCTTTCTTCTCGATAGGTCATCCAACAGTTACCCATGTTTTAGGTCTGTCCTGCCTCGGTGTTTACTGTTTTATTGACTACTAAAGCAAGGTTTGCCATCTGTGCGCCTGCCGTTCCTTGCTCACTGATTTCTTATTGTTTCTAGCTTGTCGCTCCTTGCTTGCCGGTCACCTGCCTGCCACATGTTGCTTTATCTTCCTAAGCTGACCTATTCTATTTGCGCGTTAATGTGTTTATACTGCGTTTATACGTTTTTAAGTTTATATGTTTATACATTTATGTTTATATGTTTATATGTTTATGACTTCGCCCGCTTTCTTTACCTAGTCCCCTTGTGCCTCAGTCTTTCCTATCGCATTTTACCGTTTGCCGTCTTCTCTTTGTCTCTCCCCGTTCTCGCCGTTGTATCTTTTGTCGTTTATCCTTCAGTTCCCTAACACCCCCATCTGTTGCAGTCCTAATTATTGTCAGCTGCAAATAACACCTCATCTCGGTGATTTCCGCAATTCATCGCCATGAGACCCGCCAGTCCGCGCGAGATCCGTCAAATTCGGAAAACCGCGAGATCGCGCGGTCCGCGAGATCGCGAGAAGCCGCGAGATCGCAGCATCCAAGCCGCGAGATCGCAGCATCCGCGAGCTCGCGGTAACCGTGCGATCACATCAAATTTTCTATACTCGTGAACAGATACTATCCCTTCATGTGCAAAAATACCATTGCAGTGAGAACCGCAAGTCCGCGCGAGATCCCTCAGATCGCAGCTTCCGCCGTTCTGCAGTAATCCGCGCAATCGCTTTGCTCGTGAATTGTGAAGATTGAGGAATCGTAAATTTGTAAATGGAAATTAGTATGAAAATAGAAATGAAAGCCGAAAACTTAGCTTTAACGTAAGCAACATTGCCAAAAATTCGAAGAGAAGAAGTCGTGAAAATCGTTAAAAACAATATTTAATTATTCCGCGTAGTCTCCGCTGCGGAGAAAACGCGCGGGGTTAATCCGTACCGCAGCTCGCGCGATCGCAGTCTGGCCGCGAGAATGCTATTATCTATTTATTATCTATTATTATTGTTAAGATTGTCATTACTACTTGTTGTTGTGTTAGTTTATGTTATATGTTATATTATTAGTATTACATTGTGTTAATGTGTTAATGTGTTAGCATGTTACAGCTTAGTGTACTGTGTTCAATTGTGTTGTCTGTCCCTGTATTACCTAATTGTCTACCTATTGTTTAACCTGATTTTTGTTATCTGCTAGTTACTTATTTATTTATTACTTATTATTATATATTATTTATTATTATTTGCTTTTAATTGTTACTCGTCTTCCTCCCTTGCCGTATGGTGTCGCTTTATTTTCACCGTTTCTCATTTGTCGCTCCTTTCTCTGTTCTGTCTTAATCCTATTTGAGGTTTCCTTTCTGCTGTCTATGTAAGCTGTGTTCATTCCACTTTTAGTTTCCTGTCTTCCGCAGCGGCGCTGCTCGCCCGTGTCGCTGATTGGCTGCCATACTCGTTCGCTGATTCGTCAATCTATCTTGCCGCCGATTGGTCATTTCTCCTCGTCGCTGGTTTGTTGATCTTCCTTGTTCCTGGTTGAGCGTTCTGCCGCTAGGGTTCTTGCTTGCTTTCCCTGTTGCTCATCTAATGCATTGATTCTCCGTGCTTTCCTTGGCTGTTGGATGCTTCCCTTGTTCCGAGGCTTTTTTTTTATCCTAATCATGGTGAGTCTCTTATAATTTGCATTTGCCTCATTTCTCATACTATCTTGCATCCTGTCGTTCGAATGAGCCGTTATCTACTTGTCGCTCCTATCTTGTTAGTTTCTTCTGAGAGTTTCGCGCCTTATAATCTAACTTTCCCTGTCTTTCCTATACCGAAGGTTCGAGAAGACGTGAGAGCGCCAAGGCAGGAAAACGAGAAAAGAAAGTGGAAGCAACGAGAGAAGAAAAGACAACAACAGCGAGCGAGGCATGCCTCGCCATTGATTGGAAAGTGAGAATAGAAAGAGAAGAAGAAAAGAAGAAAGCGAGAGTGAAGAGCGAAGGTGGCAAAGTGAAAGCGAAAGCAGCGGTAAGTATATCCCTTGTTGTCCCTAGCCATAAAATACAAGATAGAAAGAGATAGGTGAGGAGGGAAGGAAACAGATAGCCGCCGTTTAGTTCAGCATAGGATAACAGGTGCTTTGCCCAGCGCTCTGGCACCTAATCCTCGTTCTTCCATCTGTTTCAACTTAGGTGCTCTTGTCTCGTCCTCCACTTGTCGTCGCCATGTTGCCTGCATGGTCCCTTTACCCTGCACCTGCTGCTTGCTGGTTTGTCGCCTTTGGATCCTTGTGCATTTTCCGCGCCTTAAGATATTTATGGTATTTATCGTGTCCTTGCTGACCAGCCGATTTCTCTTGTTTGCCCAAGATTTAATTAGGTATTTATATTAACGTTTATTTTATTATTATATTATTATATCGTGTGTTGTGTTGGTTGTTCATCGTGCCGTTTTTGTTGTTGTTGTTGTGTTGCTTGCTTGCTTCGCCATCCCAGTTGCTGCACTATCTATTATTATTACTCATTTCTTATTTGATTGCTACTACTGTCTTGCCGTTTGCAGTTCGCTTTGTTTGTTGTTTACCCTATTAAAATACTAATATACCGAACTAAATATTAAAATATTAATAAATTAAAATATTAATGTTGAGTACTGTATACTAAAGTGTTTATGTGCGGCTAATATGCTTTAATACGCTTTAATGTAATTGTTTAGTTGTTTTAGTCTGGTTAGTTTTAGTTTAACTAATTAATTTACCTTTAGTTTGATCCCGTTTAGTTAATTTAATTTAATTTATTTGTTATTTGTTGTTTCCTTGTTCATTGCTTATTTGACTTAATTTATTTGTCTAGCTTCAAGTTGCCCTGAGTTGATTTATTCATTCAATTAAATTTTCAATTAAATTAGCTAATCTGTTAGTTTGTTAGTTAGTTGTCATTTATTAATTTATTACTTGTTTATTAGTCGTTCAGTTTGTTTGTTAAATTGTTAATTTGTTTGTTTATCTGCAATTTGATAATTACTTTATTTAGTTTATGTATTGTTTGCATGTTTCCGCTTTTTCCTGGCGTCCCTACGTATTAATGCTAATGTGATGTTAATTTATTAATTTATAATTTATATTTATAATTTATAGATAATTAATAGTTTACAGTTTATAGTTTATAGATGTCGCTTGGGTGTATGCCTTTGTTCATGGCTTGCATGCGTGCTTGTGATTTCGCCCTAATGCTGTTCTTGTTCAGTAGCAGTTTCGTGGCGCTGTTGTTGTTTCCCTCGCTGCTAGCGCCGCTTTGCCGGTTTCCCGCTATCCTCCATCTTGCCTCTCTCTTGCCTTGTGCCGCCAGCTTCTATGTGGCTTGTCGCGTCGTGGTTGTCCTCATGTATTGCGCAGTTTTCTATTTCTGTTATTCACTCATTTATTTATTGATCAGTGATTTGCTCGTCAGTTGTATGTCTTCGGTCTAACTCTTCCTATAATTTGTCTGTCTTGTGTAAAGTGTAAAAGGGGTGTTTGTTCGGTGTTGAGTGTTAAATGCAGGTATGCCTGCCACGTGCTCTCCCTGCCATAAAACTGCCGGAGTTTCCCTGTCCATGTTCAATTTTGGTTCCCGTAACACCTTGTTAGTAGTTCCTATCTGGTTTACTTAGTATGCTTGTGCTGTGACATAGATCTTGATATTTGTTGCTAGCTTGATTTGATTGCTGTGATTTAATTTATCGTTCATTTTTAGACCATGATTTCGATCAAACATGGCTTCCCTGACGCTGCATCTTTCAAATGTCTCATCTGCACCTGTTTCATTGTCTAAAGTACGAACCAATTACTTAGTTTAGATACCAGTTTAGTCATTTAGTTAAATAATTGGTAAGTGTTACTAATTAATTGGTCAGTCATAACTAACCAGCCAGTTTATTGATTAATTTTAGAGGTTGGGTGCAATGCACTGGTATGCTGCTACATCCCTCCGTCCCAACATAGGAGGATGAAAACATAGTGAACAAGGCCAGAATTAATCCAGTCTTCCTGTCGTCTCAGTGGTGAGTGCTGGTCTTACTGTTTTTAACCTATCGTGGCAATTTCTTTGACCCCGTTCGACGTTTTACTCGTCTTCCTGTTTGCCCTTGATTTCCCTCCATGGTTGCTCACCCTGCTCGTGCCTGTTGCTCTTCCTGGCAACTGTTACTCTTCCTGACGACCATTTTTCTTCCTGGCGTGCAAATTGAGCGTGTAGCCAGGATTTCAAATTTATGTTTGCAAGTTGCGTTTGCAAATTGTACAAAGTACAAATTGAACGTGTAGCCAGGATTTCAAATTTATGTTTGCAAGTTGCGTTTGCAAATTGTACAAAGTACAAAGTACAAATTGAACGTTCAGCAAGGATTTCAAAATATGTTTTAAATTCGTGTTGATGTTGTTTCGCTCTTATTATTATCAATCGAACATATGTTATTCTCCTTTTTATGCTCCTATTATCGATAGAACCATAATTATTGTAGATATTACACTTATTATTATCGTACATATTACCCTTATTAATATCAATATAACTCCATTTAATAACCATATTATGATCCGATTATGGATAGAACGATAATTATTGTATTTATTACTCTTATTATTATCAATATAACTTGTAATTTTACCG